GAATATTATTAAGCCTTAAAAAGTAGTTATACACCACATAATGATAATTCTTCAACAACATACCACATGTATGACACTGGTCCCATAAGAGTAAAAGAGATTCTAAGCAAAAAGCTAACTTGCAATATTGACAGAAAAGACTGGATCTGACTAAAATGTTGAACTTACTGCCAGCTCTGGGTGGTTTAAATAGAGGAGGCTCAGTATGTTGTCTATCCGCCCTGTGCCTACCTAATGGCTGGGCCTGGAGCTGGTGAGAGAGCTCGGGGAGAGGGCTGGGGAGGAGTGGAGCACCTGTGTACACACGCACACGCACATGCACATGCACACACACACCGTGTGCACAAACTCACTTCCTGTCCTTGGTATCTCTTTCCTCCCAGGCCTGTTTCCCTTTCCCTCTCTCTCTTCTCCTTCTCCTTTATTATTTCCAGTTTCTCTGGGTCTCTTTTTGATCTCTGCTCTCTCTTTCTCTCCCCTTCTCTCCCTTCTCCGCTCCCTCCTCCTGAGCTCTGCTCTCACTCAGAAAGTGCCTCTCTCCACATCCCTCCTCCTGCTCCCCACCAAGTGTGCTGGCACATGCGCACACACACACATTTTATCTTTTGCATTGAATTTTTACTGTACTTTTTCTACATTTATATACACAAATACCATTGTGTTATACTTGCCTACAGTATTCAATACAGTAACATGCTATACAGGCTTATAGCCTAGGAGCAATGGGCTATGTCACATAGCTTAGGTGTGTAGTTTGTTAGACCATCTACATTGGGTAAGTGCACTCTATGCTCACATAACAAGGAAACTGCCTAACCAGCATTTCTCAGAATGTATCCGTATTGTTAAATGACACATGACTATAATGAATTCTGACATGCTACAATATGGATGAAACTTGAAAACATTAGAGTAAGTGAAATAAGTCAGTCACAAAAAGACAAGTCTTATATAACTTCACTTATAGGAGGCATCTAGAGCAGTCAAATTCAGAGACAGAAAGTAGAATGGTGGTTGCCAGTGGCTGACATCAAGGGTAATAGAGAGCTATTATTTAATGGGTAGAGAGTTTCAGTTTGATGAAAAAGTTCTGAAATAGATGGTGAAATAGATGGTTGCACAACAGTGTGAATGTACTTTATACCACTGAACTATACAATCAGAAATTATTAAAATGGCATAAAATTATTAAAATTTTATGTTACATTTTACCACCATAAAAAATTAAGTACTTTCATATATAGGCTTTACTATGATTCAGACATTATGCTAAATTATTTATATAGATTTTCTCATTTAATGCCTATTGATATGCCCATTTTACAGATAATAAAGTCTTTTAGAAAAACTGACTTGCTAAAGGTACACTAGTAAGAAGCAAATCTTGGATTGAAACCCTCACAGTCTGAGTCCAAAGTCTGTGCTTAGTCAATGTGTTATATTAAGAGAGTGACTACATTAAGATAAGATAAAAAGCAAATTAAAATATTTTTCAAATAATATTTTAAAGTTGATTTAATACGTTAAAAATTTTAATAATGAATTCCCTAAAAATGTGAAATCCAGACTGGGTATTATTAATAACAGGACCATAAGAACTTCACCATAAGTTCTCATTCCAAAACCACAGCATCTCCAGAAATAAGACAAGAGACCAGGAGATCCAAAAAAAAAGGAAGAGAATGTGTACCTGGCATCTGCCCCATTTTTCCACAAGCCTGGGAACATTCATAGTTTCTCTATTTTTTTAAATAAAAATACTGTGGTTCTGTCCTTGTTTTTTAATTGTATTTATATTTAGCTCCATACCTGTGAATAGACTCTTGGAGAAGGACTAGAAGGATACAGGCCAAACTATTAACAAAGTTTATCTCTGGAGAGAGTAGTAGAATGGTAAGAAAGCAGGTAAATAAAGGAGAAAACACTACTTTTGACTCTTATATACTATGTTTCAGTTTGTAAAGGAGACAAACACTCAACTGACATTACTGAATGTCTAGTATAAGTCCAGGGACTATGGCGGTTCTGTTCAAACAAGATGAAAAGATAGAATGCTTGTCATCAATGAGCTCCATCCAATAAACAAATAAAATGTCTCCTGTCTCTATGTGCAGCACATCCCATAAACAATACTCATGTTGGTATTCTGGTCCCTCCAGGAAAATTTTACCAGTTGGAGTCCTCCAATGATCCCCCTTCCATGGACTTCTTGACTGCCACTACCACAAACAAAAATAGTAGCCCAGCTGTATTAAACTTAAGCCAGTGCAGACTAGTGGTAAAGACTTTGGCTCTGGTGTTATATTGTCTGGGTCCACATCTGCGATTTGTTCACTGTGTGACTTTGAGCAAGTTTCTTAATCTTCCTGTGCCTCTTGTCTCTTCAGGTAATAGATACGAACCCTCACAGGGTTATTGAAAGGCTTACACGAGCTAAGACATGAAGAGCCCTCAGAATAATGTTTGCCATATATTAAGTGGTCAGAAAATGTTAGCCATAGATGTATCGAATAGCTATCTGCAAGCAACAGACTGTCCCAGGGACAGGGGGAGAAGAATATAAAATCTTCCAAAGGAGAAGAGACCTTAGAGATAATTTTTCAGATGATGGTACAGAGAGGGCCATAATGGTTCCATGTCTTGCCGTAGGTCACACAGGTGTCCAGCAGTAACACCAGAGCCAGACTCAGGTTCTATCTGACAGAGCACAATGCCTTGGAAGAAGAAACAGCAAGACATCTCCAAACTGACTCTCCACTTAGGTGCATACTACAAATCTTATCTACTTCAATAATTGTAAATTATGAAATTAAAAGTATTAACATGTGAATAGACGATTCTCTCAGCAGAGTAAGAGCTATTCTGCAAACATTGTGTGTGTTTGAGGACTGAGAAGGGGTGCAACAACCATCCATGTCAAAGACTTTAGGATGCAGTCTGTTTCTGAAAAGTAGCAAGGGTAATAATCCAGAATGCCAGACCACTTCAGCAGAGCTCCAAGATAGCCACCAGAGATGAGTCCAAAAAGTAGGGTCCAGACTCGCTGGTCAGCTCTGCCTACACAGCCTACAGGCCCTGAAAGACAGGTCACAGAAGTAGTGGAGAAGATGGGTAGGGTATGCTGGACAAGAGTTAGAAACCAGACTACAGAAATAGACCATTCCAGAAATACTTCCACTATGTAACTGCTATCAGTTCAGCTCTCCATATCCCCCACCAACTTACCTCCCAAGCTTCTCCTTCTCCATCAGGCTCATCGTGTCTTTCTCTCCCACCTCTCCCATCTTGCCAACCTTTCTTCCCACTAACTTCTCATGGATTATCTTGCATTACAACCCAATGTCTTCGAAGACACTTTCCAGTCTATGCTTTTCCCAGGTTTTCCCTTCCTCCTAGAATCCTTGCCACCTGCTGTTCTAGGATCCCTTTCCCCTCAATTAAAATTATGTGTCAAAATCTTTTCCCAGAAATGCCAACTCTTCCATGAAGCCATCTTACAATAAGAAGTCCTCTTATTGACTGGGGAAAAAAAAAAAAAAAAAGATGTCCTCTTTCTATCCTCCGCACTTCCAGAACCTTCTAGATTTTTCTAAGGCATTTGATAACTTCTACCTCGCTCCCCTCTCAAGAAGCTCTCTCTTTTACAGCTTTATACAGCACATTGCTAACAAGTGGTTGTCACTCAGTAAACACTAGTTGCTGGCACAGAGGTCACAGAATAGTGGTGTGAGAAAACTGACGTGCAGCAGGGAAAGCTGGAAAGGAAGGCAATGAAGAGGGAATAAAACAGAAAATATGTACCATGTACCAGAATTACTCTATTTAACACATGTTAACTCACTTAGCCCTCTAGACAACCACATGACGTAGGTGCTATTATCTACATATTACAAAGACAGAAACTGAGACATGAATGCGTTGAGTAACTTGCCCAAGGTCAGTGAGAGTTGTGAATTGAACCAGGCCAGCTGCCTCTGTATATTGGTTCTCTGCAACACTGTTCTTTCTAACACTGTATCCCAAAAACCACTTCAACTGTTCCACTCACTGCATTCATTGCCTTTCTGAATCAAAAACATGCCCTGCAATTATGGCACCAAATTCCCGCCTACTGCTTTCTGAGTCAGAAATTAAAGAATGATTCTGGCAAGATCTGTCATGATGGCAAGATCTGTCTCAAATCCAAAACATTGCTTAAGTAGAGAGAATTATAGATGCTTCAAATGGAATGCGCCTCAAGCCATTCACCTAGCTCAATATTTGCCATCATTTCCGTTCCTAAATCTTGAAATATATACCAGTACTATTTGCAAGCATATACATCTAACAATCACTCTGAATATTATCTTGATAGAATTATGGGATTAATCTACAATTACAGTATAGGTTACTGATGCATGCAGTTGTCTGTCACGTGTCTGAGGTGTTTTTTTAACAATCATAAAGGAATATGGGCCTCCAACTATGGATAGGAAAATATAGAAAAGATACACTTAGGTTACAATTGCATTCAAATGTAAGTAAAACAGCAATTATCTACATAATTGAGCCTTTAAATAATCTAATATTAAACTTCTTATTAACAGAAGAAAAAGTTTTGTTGATTGTGAATAAGCCAGATAGTTTTCTCAATGTTCTATCAAAACGGTCAGGGAGTGGAGGCTGTATAAAGATTTTGGCTTTACAAATGTATACTCGGTTTTCACAGAAAGAAAATAAAAAAAAAAAATGTATCAGTAGGTTCAACTTCAAAGTTAGGAGAGGCTTACAGCAAGATATCAGTTAAATTTCTGTTACCAAGAAATTTAAAAATACCATACAGATAACCAAAAAGTTAAAATCTTAGCAAAGTAGAAGAAAAGGAAGCCAAGGGTCTATGCAGTTTGTGGCAGCAAGCATATTTTTCTCTCCCTGATGAAGAGAAGACTAGTGAGAAGAGCAAAAAGACTCAGAGATCACAGCGGGAGAAATACGACATCCAGCATATATCCAAAACTTACCCAACTCGGTCTGTTTACTCAACACTTTATTTTTCCCACTTTGCCAATTTTAAATCAGACAGCGGCTGGGCTTTTGTTGTTGCTGTTTCTGTTCTTTTGATCCCAGAGCCCCATGAAAATTAAACTGTGTGTTAGATAGGATCTGGCCCCGTCTCGCATTAGGAGGGGGGAAAGTTTTAAACTTGGATCCTTGGTTGATTCTTTGGGAAAATGAATAAATAATAAGTCGCTAGAAGGCGAGGACGTGGGGGACGTGCTCTGCTGAAGTCAGCCCGCGAAGGCGCTGCACAGTTCCTCAGCACAGCTGTCCAGATGTGCTTCATCTGGTTCCCCCACGGGGCACGAACCTCGGTCGCCGCGGCTACCCGAAGCTCCAGCTCATTGGTGGCCGCAGGCTTCTCGCTTGCTATCTATTGGCCCTCCGACCCCACTCCCGCGGGCTTCGGGCCCGCCCCCGCCGCCAGGGCCAGCTCTTTCCATCCTCTTAAGGAACCTGGAAGTGCAGCGCGGGCGCTGATGTGGCACTCGGCGGCGGCGGCGGCGGCGGCGCGCGGAACCCGAGAGGGGCCTCGAGCCCAGAGGGAGGCCCTCCGCATCCAGTGCTCTGTTATGCACCGTCCTTTTAGGCAGTTTGGCCTGTTTATTTAAACGGGATGATTTTAATCTGTTCTTGGGATGAAATTTAAGGGCGCCCGCCATCGCTTAAGTACCCTGCATTGCCGAGTGGAAGAGACTAGGGGTCCGGGAGGCCCACGACCCCAAAGGGAGTTCAGGCCCGCTTTAGGACTTCACTCTCTCCACTTTCTCCAAGGAATGAATTATAAAATTCAAGAGCCTGTTCCTTGGGGACAGTATTCTTTTGTTGGTGGAAAAGTCTTAATGAATCCTTCATTGAAGTCCTTGTTAACTAGAAGGTTGTTTTCTGTGGAGAAGCCCAGGGTTGATTACAAGAGTGCTTTGGTTGGTTGGTTTTTTGTTTTGTTTTGTTTTGGTGGTGGTAGAGAGATCTGAAATGTTGCTTGGTTCTGTGAGAATTTAAATAGGACTGCACCAAACCAATGCTTTGATCATGGGGAAATCATGGGAGGGTTGACAGAATGGTTGATTAGTTGGGGGCCGGTAAGATTTACAAATCAACTGCCATTATAACTTAAACATGTTTATAGAAATGTGACCTCATTGAAATATTAAGGTGGCAAGAGCCACACTCATCAGGCCACACACAATGAAAGGTGCCAGGCTGTATATTAAACAGCTTGACCCACATTATCATATTTAATTCTTACAACCACATTATGAAGTAGATATTATAATTATCTTCATTTTTCAGATGAAGCTACCAAGATGCAAATAAGCCTATCCTCTGCTACCGCAGTCTCCAATATATGTTTGCAGTACTCCATCATGGTTACATAAACTTACCTGCCATTTTCCAGGAGTAGGTAGGTCAGAATTGTGAGTACCTCTGCCTTCTGCTTTCCAAAGATTTCACCAAGATGATCACGTCTTGGTTGATATATTTGTTATCTATTGCTATATATGTAACATATTACCACAAATTTAGTAGCCTGAAACACCACACAATTATTATTGCACAGTTTCTGAGTGTCAGAAGTCCAGGCATGGTTAACTGGATCCTATGCTCAAAATTTCACAGGCTGAAATCAAGGTGTTAGCCAGGCTGCATTTTCATCTGGAGGTTTGCTGGGGAAGAATCTGCTTCTGATTCCCTCAGGTTGCTGGCAGGATCCATTTCTTTGCAGCTGTAGGGCTGAGTCCCCAGTTTCTTTCTGGGTGTTACCTCCAAGAGTCTACTCTTGGAGGTAACACCCAGGCTCCTGCAGTTCCTAAAACACAGGAGGTGGAGACTATGAGATGAACTACCTTAGAGTCTGTCTGCCACAACAGGCTAGTCAGACACCTCAGTCTGTATTACCCTGATTGCAATGTTATCACATCTCCACAAGCCCTCCAAAACTTCAGGGCCATGCAATCAAGTAAACTGGGACGGTTATGAGTAGATTCACAACACTCAATCCCTGTGGCAGTCAAGGAAACCCACAAAAGAGGGTTGACCCTTGAAATCAATCAAGAGTTTGGCAATCTGGAGCACTTGTAGTCTGACAAGACTGCATCATTTATCACAAAAACTATTCAACAATGGGCTGATAGTCAAAAAGATGGAGGTGACACAATTTTTTTCTTTTTTTATTTATTTATCATGGTGACATTGGTTAATGAAATTCAATAAGTTTCAAGTATACAATTCAACAGTAAGTCATATATATATGTGTGTATATATATATACACACACACACACACACACATATATACACATACATATATATATTGCATTGTGTATTCACCACCCATAGTTAGATTTCTGTCACCACATATTTGACCCCTTTTACTCCATCTACCTCTCCCCTCCCCCCTACCTTTCCCCTCCCCCCTACCCTCTGGTAACCACTAGTCTACTGTCCATGTCCATGAATCTCTGTTTATCATGTTTCTTTGTTGCTTTTTAGATTTATATCCCACATATAAGTGATACCATGTGGTTTTCAGCTTTTTCTGTTGATTATCTCAATGATTATCTAAAGATCTATCCATGTTGTCACAAATGGCAGTATTTCATCTCTTCTTACAGCTGAATAATATTCCATTATATATATGTACCACATCGTCTTTATCCATTATCATCTATTGTAGGGTGCTTTGGTTGCTTCCACGTCTTGGCCACTATGAATAATGCTGCTATAAACATTGGTGTGAATATATCTTTTCGGATAAACGTTTTCAAGTCTTTGGGGTGACATAATTTTTTTCTATTTCTCCTGCTAGTACAACGAAAAATCTTTATGTATAAATAAACATACAAAGAAGAGGACATCAGACTGGCTAGGAATCTAGGGACCCAAGGAATGATATGATGGCGAGTTCTCTGTTTTCTTTTTGTCTCATTTATCCAGATTTGGAGCCCAATAAAAGCCTATTCTCTCTAGCCAAAGGACCAGAAAACAAGAGTCTAAAAAGACACACACACAAAAAAAGTTTAGCTAGTAACAGCTACACTCCAACCAAACACCGCAGAAAAAAACTGTGGCTCCACCCACACTCACACCAGCAAAGGCCAAGTGAAGAGCTTAGACAGACTTCCACCTGTACAAGACTATGACAAAGTGAAAACTAAGAGCTAGGTTTTTAAAAAGATCAATTTAATCAGCAAACAGCTAGCACAACTGACAAAGAAAAAAAGAGAGAAGACACAAATTACCAATGTCAGGAATGAAACAAGATTTCACTACAGACCTAGAAGGCATCAAAAAAAAAATAAGAAAACAACAGACAAAATATGACTTAGATGCAATGGACTAATTCCTTGAAAAACACAAATTACCACAAGTCACCCAATATGAAATAAATAATTTGAATACCCCTGTAACTATTAAGGAAATTTAATACATACTTTTAATACTTTCAAAAGAGAAATCTCCAGGCTCAAATGGGTTTCACTGGAGAACTCTACCAAATGCTTAAAGAATAATTAACACGAATTCCATATAATCTTTTCCAGAAAATAAAAGAGAGAATACTTTCCAATTAATTTTGTGAAGACATCGTTCTTCTGATGTACAACCAAGAAACACATCACAAAAAAGGAAAACTACACACCAATATCTCTCCTGAATAGAGACACAAAAATCCTTAACAAAATATTAGCAAATAGAATTCAGCAATATATAAAAATAATTATACACTATGACCAGTGGACATTTTTCCAGGAATACAAAGCTTATTCAATATTCAGAAATCAATCAATATAACCAATGATATTAAAAGCCTACAGAAGAAAAATCACACAATATATCAATTGATGTAAAACAAACATTTGACAAGATTCAGCATCATAAAAATGCTCAGAAAAAAAGGAATAGAGGGAAATTCCCATAATTTGATTAGGAGCACCTGCAAAAAAAACCTACAGCTAACATTACATTTAATGTGAAAGACTAGATGCTTTCCATATGTACTTTGTGATTTTATTTATATAACATCCTTGCAATGACAAAATTATAGAAAAGGAGAACAGATTCATGGTTACTAGGCGGTGGGATGGGAGGGAAATGACTATGGCTGTAAAAAAGCAACATAAGGGATCCTTGTGGCAATAGAAGGGTTCTATAGCTTGACTGTATCCATGGGCTGTTGTTGGATAGTGTACTATAATTCTACAGAATGTTACCATTGGAGAAGACTGGTTAAAGGGCACATAAGATCTCTACGTATTAATTCTTACAAATCTATGTGCATCTATAATTATCTGAAAATTAAATGTTTAATTTTAAAAAGATTTTTAATTCTATCTCCCTCACCAACTCCTGGTCTGCACAACTTAGTAAAGCAATTTGGGCACTGAATACAGCTCTCTCCAGAAAGAGATAACCACCTCTCTTTCTGAGTAATGTTCTGGATGAAAGGGGTGAAGGATTATACAGAAGTATTTTTAAAATTTGGAATGCCCTGATCGTTCTTGGGTATGATGTTTCATTCTTTTCCCTAATGACAATACTAGGCCAGCTGGGTTGGTACACCCTCCAGGAAGCAGCGTGGCCCAAAGGGGGCCTAGAGGTTTAAAGTTAATTCTGGTTCAGCCAATTCTTGTTGCATTGGCAAGGTCCTAGATCATAAGGACAATGAACACTTGGTTGAATACACTGCTCACCAGGTCTTCCTACAGTAGCCTATGCAGGTCTAAGTGAGGGACATAAGCGATCTCTGTAAGTTTTATAAAAATGTTCTTGTCTCTCTTGAACCTCACCCTCTGGACAAAAGACAGGGGTGTGAACAGAGTGTGACTAGGGAAAAGGTGAGGTTATGGCTACTGGAACAAACACACTGATTTTGTAGAGGTGAAGGGAGAGCAATAACCCTGACACTGCAAACCCTGGGACATATGAAGGAGTGAGAGGAACATTAATATATTTTTCTGTCATAACTTCCCTAGGAGCCTTTGTCTACAAGGGAAATGGTTTGACGCATTTTTCCCAAACTGTTGCAAGCATCATAGATGACACTGTGGATCTGTCATCCCCTGTCAGACAGTTCTGACTGCAATTTGATAGCCATTCCCCTTAACCTTACCAAAAAGTCTATTGAAAACAGCAAAACAGGGGTCCCCAACCCCTGGGCCACAGACTGGTACCTGTCCATGGCATGTTAGGAACCGGGCCATACAGCAGGTGAGCGGCAGGCGAGCAAGCAAAACTTCATCTGTATTTGCAACCGCTCCCCAGCACTAGCATCACCACCTCAGCTCCCCCTCAGCTCTTTAGGCATTAGATT